GGTATTTCCTCGCATTATTTGTTTTGACCTTTTTAGTTGATCGTCAAAATTTTAGCGTTATCCGTTTCGACATACCTCATCTGTTACGCCGCGTTACGAGGGGAAAGGGGGTAACAATTTCCGAAAATCATCTTTTTTTAAATAATTTTTTTTAGGGTTTTAATATTTTAAAAGGTAATAATTTTTTCTTCGCCAGCTCATAATAGTATATATGATTTTATATTATATCAGCATTATAAACTTGAAATAATAGTAAACTTATTATATATTGCACGAGCGAAGCTTGTGATATTATCGAAAATATTGTTTGGGGTGACCAAAAAAAGTGATGGTAAAAGTCCATAATATTAATATTAAGAGGTCTATCATCGCAATTTTAGATTTTTTTTCCTGCGCGAGTTTTTGTATCAAAACTCCCAAACCATTGAGTTTAACAAAATTGACCTGAAAATATTTTTTGAAGAAAATTGAATACTCTATAAAAAAGGTTAAATTGGAATTTCTCGTCAGATGAACCGTTTTCTTACAATCATGCCTTAAAAATTGGTATAGTTTTACAATTTCATATTTTACCTTTGGAATTTTGTAATTCATGTAAAAATTAGTACCCGGAAAAAACCCGATAAATATTGTTATGGAAAATTAAATGCTCTACAAAAAAGTCTAATAACATTTTTGGCTAAATTCACTCCATCAAAAGTTATTCAAGGTTAAATTTAAAGTCAAAACGAAATTCTTGTTTTTTCTAGATTTTTTTTGGGTCAGTTAAAAACTTAAATTCTTATATTCATGATAATCTTTATGCTATTGATAAAATTACTGAAAATTAAAAAAAAATAACACATTCTAATTTTTTCGCTTTAAGAAGATATTTTCGTAAGTAATATAAGGGCATCTAATTTTTCCGACAAAAATCGAAAAAACACGTTGCTAAGTAATATTTTAACAAGAAGCATGAGTGCTGGTGGCAACAAAAATCCGAGTCGAAGAGGAGGATTTTTGCACCTGCACGAATGCATTTTGTTCAAAAATATTACTTAGCATTGTGTTTTTTCGATTTTTTTCACAGGAAAAATTAGATGCCCGAATGGTATTTGACAAGACTATTTCATGAGTAACAGTTAACAATTAAAATATAAATTGCAATTTTTGGTGACAACAGCTGTCAAGTTTTGCCGCGGGTAAACTCGAAAAAACTGCTGACAGGTGCTGTCACACAGTTTTTTTACCTAGAAACCATTTGTAATTCAAAATTGCGCGTTTGTGATTAGTGGAAATTAAGACGAGGGAAATAGTCTTTAGAAAATATTATTTTCACTGTAACCTATTTAATCGTTTTTTATTGGAAATTATTAATTAGTTATATAATACACATTTAAAAAGAAAAAAATCAAATTATCAACCATAAAAAAATAAATCTACAGAGGAAAAAAACAAGAATTTCGTTTTGATTGCAACTTTAACCTTGAATAACTTTTGATTGAGTGAGTTTAGCCAAAAATGTTAAGAGGTTTTTTGTAGAGCATTTGATTTCCCATGATCGCCGACGCGTGGACTAGTGGTTAGTGCTGCTGACTACAAGCCGGAGGTCGTGGGTTCGAATCCCACCAGGGGTATGGCTGTTTATTTGTGTTTGTCCTATTGTGTAATAGTCCTTCGGAGGGGACTTTAAGCCCGCGGTCCGTTCCTACCCCTAACACGCACAAGCCATTCAGTTGGCTTATGAGAAGTAAGGGTGGAACTAAAAGAGCACTTTTGTATATAAACTTTTTTTTGTATAAGAATATTTATAGGTTTTTTTTCGGTACTGATTTTTACATGAATTACAAAATTCCAAAGTTAAAAGATCAAAATGTAAAACTATACCATTTTTTAAGGCATGATTTTAGGGAAACGGTCCATCTGACAGAAAATTTCATTTTAACCTTTTTTGTAGAGCATTCAATTTCCTTAAACAAATTAAAATTGCGATGATAGACCTCTTAATATTAATATTATGGACTCAAACTTTCACAATAATTTTTTTTGTCACCCCAAACCATATTTTCGAAATAGTCGATTTTTTGGCCCAGTCTAATATACACATACTTTATAGTCTTTTTAGATGCTAATTTCTGCACACATAACCGCTCGAAAAGTTAAACTTTTCTGTACTCTTACTTTTCGCAAGCTTGACAGTGCATGCGGAAAGTAAATGCCTGCGGAAATAGCAACTTTCCGCACGATTGTAGAAAAAATGTTAAAGTTAAAAATGAACTTGACTGGTGACTAAACTCAGCCACCCGTCGTTTGTTTAACGTCGCGTGCGGAAAAGTAGCACTTTTTGCACTAGCTGGGTAAAAAACTATTACAAATTAATTACAAAATTGGCGAATGCCCCGGGATTAATGTTCATAATATTACAACGTATTACGTTATTATTTCCATATACCTCATGTTTTAAAGGTATACACATCTAAATGTTCTTGCAATATCTTAGAAACTATTAAACGTAAGTTTGAATTGAAATTTGATACGTAGTTTAGCAAACTTACATTAACTTAACGAGTTGGAATCTCAACTTTATATCTTTTGTAGTTGTTTCATAGTGTTGTTGTGCTTTTTTTAGACTTCTTGTTTTAACAAAAAAATAAATTTTGATTACCTTTTATGATAAATTTATTATTAAATAGATAGAAATGGAAATGATAATGTAAGGCACTAAATAAATATTTTATACCCACTCACAAAGGGGTATTAAAACGACACGACGATAGATGCAATAAAACTTTAATAACTTTTAAAGTAAAGGAGATCATCCTAAAGAATCAACTTTGTTGTATTTTTATAATTTCAAGGGACGAGATTGTTTTTTGCGGTAATAACCAATCGTAAGTATTATAAGGATGTATATATGTGTCTTCCAGGTAATGAATGGTATTACATTAAGTTAAATATGTATGTATATATTAAGAATAAAACATTCTAACAACCAAAAATATTATAACAAAAAAAGCCATTAGATTAGAAAACAGGAAACCGCTATCAATTCCTGAAGACATGGATACAGAGATTGAAGTTGTATTACCTTTATTTTCAAGTTATTTAAGTGTTTAAAAATATATGTATATATAATATATTAAAAAAATAATTGTTCATTTTTAAAATCGAGTCTTAAGGGGTGGCAAAAACATCCTGTCCAATATAAATTTATAGGTTCGTTCATTATAAAGATATGTATAGTGAAAGGTGATACAGCGCCAAGGGGCTTGGTTAACGTTACTTTTGACTAAACGCAATATATTTATACTGCAACAAGGATCCATGCTACTTGGATCTAGTTTAAGTTGAAATGTTGGATAAAAATGAACCAATGGTTTTATATGATAAAATAAATATTTTCAAAAAAATAAGAGAAGATCAGGAGGATCTCAAACCTAAAATTAAAAGATTTAAAATCTATTTATCACCTTATTACAAATGATGGTTTATATGTTATAATAAAACAATAGGCAATAACTATCAGTTTTATTTATTCTACAAGGGACCAACCAACAAATTTACTTATTTTATTGAAAATAATGAAAACAATATTATAAGAAATAAAAATTTAGTACTAAATTAGCGATTTGGAAATAAAATTAAAACGTTGAATCTATAATTGAGGAGCATTCGTGCAAAACTGGCTATATCCACTTTAATAAAATGTTGGGAAAATGGCAAAAACTCTCGGATTCCTGGCCTTTCCAGATAAAAAAAGCAAACTTGAGTTTTGTGGGCTTTGTGGTACTTGATTTATAAGACATACTTTTGTTTTAAAAAAATTTATATTAAGGCCAAAATTTCAAAAAATGTTTTGTATATAGCCTTGCTCAAAAACCTACGAATAAAATGTGAAAAAAACCTTTATTATTCAAAAATATTAACAAAATAAATTTAGTGAAAACATGAAAAAACAGAACAAATTTTAGTAGTAGTATCGACATATCCAAGCCACATGCTCATCATCATTATTATTTATTGGATATAGCCGGGTTAACCGGCCAAATCCACGTTTTTCTAGCAAATTTGCTATAAAAACGTGGATTTGGCCGGTTTTGCTCCTAAAGCTACCTTTTAAATGTGATTTTAACATGGATATAGTTGGATTTGAACAGAATTATTTTGGTTGTCGATAGAAATGAACCCAAAGATGCGAAATCAAAAAAAAAAACAACAAGTGAATAAAATGGATTTAGCCGGTTTTGCACGGATGCTCCTCAATTAAGACCACAGTAATGAAGGAACCACGTAATTTTTCGGACGCTATTATCTTAGTTTTGCAACATTAAGGGTTGGTTCCCTGTTGTATAACACCATTCGTTTTAAGACCTGGTCAACTACTAAGCAATTTTTAGGATTTAATATTTTTTAGTATTAATTTTTTTTATTTAATATAATTTAAATGTGTTTAATTTTTGTTACAAATTGTTTAATAATATATTTGCTATTTTAATTAAACTTAACCAAAACAACTAAACAAAATAAGTTACTTCTATGAAATTTTAAAAATGTTACTATACCTTACATTTTTGTATAGATAGATCATATTAAGATAAAACTAAAATTTCTTACATTATATTTTTAATTTTTAACATTTTATTATAACGTAAAGCAATCTCCATAATATATTATATTATACTATATTATATGCAAAAGTATTAATGTAAAAAAATAAAAAATACTTCTTACGTTTTCATTTATTATTTTAGTTTTGTTATTACTAAAAATATTAAGCATAAATGTTTATTTTTAGTTAATATTTCATTCTTTCGTCCCTAATAATTAGATAATAATTATATATGTACGAACTAGGACAATTTAATTTAGTTATAGAGTGATACTAAAGACAACATCTTTTGAAAGAAAACAATAAACATCTTTAAAAGTATATTTTTAGTTGATATGCTAAGCAAAGTGATTATACTCCGCAATTGTTGTGAATTTTTGCGTATTTTTTTTAGTGGCAGTATGAAGTGTAAGTAGCATCGCAATAACAGAAGCCCCATAACACAATATTATATTAAAATAACATCCACGAGAGCGGGCCTTACCGCTCAGAGTAAAATCAATGAACGCCATGCGCGTCCTGGGGTGTGTTTTGGAGGGGTAAAGTGACTGCTCCATGGGCGCCAACCCGGACAGTCCACGCCTATGGAGCCAGCTGCAGCTTGCAGAATCCCTAGGAGTCTGTGTGTGATGTGCCCGTTGACGATGGGACATGAAAAAGCAAGATGTGAACGTTAAGGTGAGTCAAACTGCAATTAACATCAACATCCCTTTGATTTTGTGCATTTTTGTCGCCAATCTTGTTGCGTTATTTGCATGCCAAGGCATGCTCCATATATTACTATTCCCGGCTCCAAGGAGCTTTCTTTTAATGTTTACCCCTGAACTTGCGGTCCGGTCCTAGCAATTTTAAACATGTTTATTTGATTACTACTACTTTACTAAATGTTGTTAGCTCTTATTTACTATCCAAACATGCTGCGCTTAATATTACTGGCTTTCTCCAAAGGACCACTTTTACTTTATCGCTTTTATGACCTCACCAATCCAACCGATCCTAATTTTATTGCCTCGAAAAAACTTTTATCTTAATTTTACGTTTTGTTGTTATAATATTGCCCCAAAAGTATTAAAAACATCATCAGCACTACTTTAATAATATACAGAAAAAAAGATAAAACATTGAATTAATTTATCTGGTCTGCTTGGTTGGTAAATGCTTAAACGCTTATATTACGAAAATCTTTATTAAATTTTTTTGAAATTTGTACCGTGCTTTGGAAAAAGGTAATGTTAAATTTTAGCTAGTTGTTTTATTTCGGAATATATTATAATGCAGCTTGCCAGGCAGTTTTATATTAGAATATTAGTTTTTTTATACAAAAACTTAAAATGCAAGAAATGTTTATACACATATGTGTTTTTTATATATTTTAAAAAAATGTACTACAATAATATTATAATGTATTTTAAAAACAATATTTGGCCAAAATTAAAAATATTTGAAAATAAAAAAGAGGTACCACAATTATATTTAAAAAGCATAATTAGGTAATGAATTACATAATATAATATAGTTTATTAAATTTTATTTAATCTTCACCGTTTGCTTTGTTTAACTGAGGTTTAGAATTTATTTAACGATTAAAATTTAAAATTAAAGATAAATAATTATTTAAATTAATTTTGATTTTGTTTTAAAGGAATATTTATTTTTAAATTAATTAAACATTATACCAAATAATATTTTATTCCTACCAACTTATATTATATTTATATTTTTAAGCATTAAGTAAAATGCTTGATTTGGCTATGGGAAAAAAAGCAAACCTGCTTAATACATTTTGTTTATAATAAGTAGTGGTTTTATTAAACATTTAAAGGAAAATTTTATATCCAATAGGCTTATGGGTACAAACCAAATAAGACACATGCGTTTGATATTGATGTCAAGTTGGTATCAATCCTTAAAACTGTATTTCACACGCAAGGAAAGCTTTCTTTTAGCTTATGTTAATGCACAATCAGCCTAACGGCCTCGTGAGAAAACACTCGCATGAAAAATTCGCTTTTCAAATGAATATAAAGCTACGCCCACTAAACATTTCGATAGGGAATTGAATTTCTTCGTAAACCTAGATATCTTTTTATTTAATACTTTTTCAAAATTTTATAACTCGTAAAATAGTTAGGATTTTAAAACACATATTTTTGTTAAAAACTAACTGATCTACAAAAAGATTTTTTAAGTTTTTTTATAAATGTAAGCGTTTCAAATATAATCGCATCTAAAGATCAACTCATACTTTAATGATTACCGTAAAAAATATTATTTTATTTTGAAATAACCTTATAAATTTAAGTTCTTTTTAATTAAAATAACCTTTTAAATGATTAACTTTTTTATGCAATTTTATTTCAAAATGTTTATTTTATAATAAGTATTCCGGTATCCGAGTCTCTTGGATGAGATACATTTAAACATATGTATTTATTTGCCATATAAATAATTACATTACAACCAAAGAATTATTTAGGAAAAAAGTTTTAAAAACCCTTGTCATATTAACAGCTAGGTATCCTAACCACTAGATCAAACGGAATATACTTTATATAAAAAAAACTTATTAATATTTCGTGCACGCCATTATCTTTAAAACGCTTAGGTTAATAAACAAAAGCATATCAAATTTATTTTTTTTATTTATAACTTGCCGAATATTTATGCATAAGATATATATTATATATACTATGTATATATTTATATTCATATATTAGTGAAAATGAGAAAATTTAAACTTGCAATGAGGAGGATCTTAATATTAGTATATAGAGCTCATACATACGTAGATTATCTACGGTAAATAGGCCCAACAACCAATTTTTGATATAATATGAAAAAAAAGAATATTAGATGTTTAAATCACCCTAATGTATATAATGTATACTATACATACAAAGTCTGTTTAGCCAAATCCGACGCAAAATCTAAGTGTATTTTGTATTTCCCTTATAACATACCGGCATAATTAATTAAAATTTACATAAACCTACTGACAAAAACAATATAATTGGCATGTAAATAGATAACTTTTTGGTTTTAATTTAGTTTAACAATAATTTTGTAAACATATATTGCCTGATGTATTTTTAACAGAAAACATCAAATATAAACAAAAAAGTACCAGTAGATAGAATAATTAAGGACAATAGTTTATATGATAAATTTAGTACTTATTATTAATAATAAGTTATTAATATACCTTTGGAAATAGTAAAAATTAAGCTCTGATTACTATATTTGTAAATTCAGAACATATTTTGTAATCTTATACTTAACATTTGACCAACTATTAATATTCTAAATAAGTTAATTTAATTACAATGTTAATTTTTAGTAATTAAAACTGTTCACAATTTAATAATGAATATGTGGTATTCAATACTAAAAGTTTGGGAATGATTACCAAATACCTTTAAAAGCAACTCCCAAATATTATATTTCAATATTCGGCTATGCATTTATGCTTTTTGTCATTTTAGGACATTTTTTGTCATTCATGCTTTATACATTTGCGTGTATTTCCTATTTTATCTTTTGCATTTTGTTTGTTATCATGTAATACTTAACTTCTGTTTTATGCAACTTTTTTTTGTTTTTGTTGTTGTTTTTATCTGTTATACTTTTCAGTATTTTATTAATTTTGTAATAACTACTTTTTAGTCAATAAATATATGAGTTTAGGAAATAATTACTAAGAAAAAATATCAAAGGTTCCCCAGTTTACTGCATTTTTTAGTAAACATTCCCAAAACAGTTATCTTTCTGTATGGTTTACAAAACGTTATTTTTCTACGACTCTTTTATTTTTTATTATTTTCAAATACAAAACAAAATAATTAATTCCTTTTCACACAGACCTGTCACTTTACATTCGAGTTTTGCCTTGCCAATGAAAAGATTCATTTTCTAAGCAACGATGCCATTACGAAGTGTGACTTTTACATAGTGGTCGTAGAAAAAATGTTTTTTATTGTACTAATGTTAAAAAAGATAATTGCAACGAGAAGGATCTTACTCTTAATAGTAAGAGGTCATACGTATTAAGGCTTCTTTTGAGGTGCCCAGCAAATTTTTAGATATCTATTTGTAAAAAAAATAATAGTAGATTTTTTGAATCACCCTAATATACATTGTACAAGTATAAGTATAAGTATATGATATATGATAAATGAACTGGAAGTAACTCCAAGAATTGGAGATTTTTGTCACAACCGGTAAATAACTAAACAATTTTAACATTTAGTTTGCGTATACAAATAGATTTATTACGTTAATAAATAGAAAAACTGCCCTAATATACTTTAAATGTCAGGCATACTAAAACAGATTTTTTTACTTTTTTAAGAGAATTAAATATTAATATTATGATAAAAATGTCAGTATAAATTAAATTGTATTATTAAAAAATATATACATATACTACTTATATATACTATAGTACTTGCGGGATAACTCGTATTTATGGTAGTTTTATAATTTTGATTTATTTTTGTAAAAAAGACTTCTTTACAAGATTTTTTTTATTTATTTGATATTTCTTCAAATAAATATTTTATAAGTAAAACTAAATCTATTTAGAACAATTGGTACCCTCTTGATGGAATTATTTTTACTTTACTGTGATAATAGGCTCAATCCCTTTAAAGTCGTCGTATCTATGACTTGGGATCAGGACACCGAAAAGCAGCAACAGCATCAGGCAAAAGCACAAAATTATTTGCATGGAATTTGTTGCGCTAAGAGACAGAAATTTCCTTGAATTCAAGTTAATAAAGCGTAGTTTTGCTTAGAAATAGGTCACAGATTACACATTTACCTTTGTGCAGGTGGATACGGATAACAAGTGGAATTCACAGAATCCTGCTCGAGTACAAATATACTTTATTTAAAAATATGAATTTAATTTATTTTTTCAACTCAAACAAAAAGTTATTTTTTTAATTTGGACGTTGACAATGTTGGTATGTTGGTATTTTAATTACTAAAGTAATGAGAACGGCTAATTTTGATATTATTAAGGGCGTAAAATACACTTGCATATTAAGTAGCAAATTTGAAACTAAAAAAAGATTAAATGATTATGTGAGTTTTTATATATTTATGATTACAAAAACAGCAATAAAATAATTTATGCACGATGACATTATAATATGACAATTATAACAAAAATTCATTGACGTAAACGTCTTTTTATAGCCCGCGGGCGTTATTATGACCCAGCGGGCTATAATGAAACGTCAAAAATTAAAAACAACAATGTTACACCATTTGATATATTCGAAGTAAGTTTTTTCGTATAAAGATTTTGATTTTTCCGGCAGCAGGCCGCAATTTTTCGCCTTTTCAGCTGCTTCCTCAATTTCATTCATCTTTAAACTTTAAAACTGACTGATGTCAGTTGACATTATAATATGACAATTATAACAAAAATTCTTTGACGTAAACGTCTTTAAAAACATTAATATATTAAAAATATTAATATATTAATCGTGCATAAAGTTTTGTATGCATTGCTGGCATAACTGGTTTTTATGGTCCTACGACGCTTTTCTAGCCCTCGCGCTAACGCGCTCGGGCTCGAAATAGCGCCTCGGACCATAAAAACCTTATTATGCCCTTAATACATAAATAACTATTATCGAGCTACAGGTTTTTTATTAGATAAAAGTTATAAA